AGTTATATACATATAGTTATATTTATTACATTTCTAAACTTTGCATGACTGTATGCTTACTGGTTGAAATATAATATTTTTCAAATACATTTGTGTGCTAAATTGTGTTAAGAATTCAAAATTTTCACTCGGTGGTAATAGTGGTAAAATGTTGCCTATATGCCCAGTGCTGCAGTTGCAAATTTTGCCTATACGAAATGGTCTCTGTCTTTAAGATCTTGATGTTTGAGATGGTGATATTATTGTGTGTTTCAGGTTGTTTTTCAAGCGTGTGAATTTGCTGCTGGGAGGGTGTGTACGTCTAATGTTGAGTGGAGGTGCTCCACTGTCTGCTTCCACACAGAGATTTATGAACGTGTGTTTCTGCCCCGTCGCTGTGGGTTACGGCCTTACAGAGACGTGTGGAGCGGGAACTATCTCAGAATGTTAGTGCACACAAACACACACTTACACCATGACTGATGTTTTACCTGCTTGTTCAAACAGCTGGATTCCTGTGCCGACATGTTCAAACTTGTGTTTGTGTGTTGTAGTTTCTGATTACAGTACAGGACGCGTTGGAGCACCTCTCATTTGCTCTGAAATAAAACTGCGAGACTGGCCTGAGGGTAAGACACATACACACATGTGCAAACAACAACTGCAATTGAGGGTTCTCAGGTTCATTTTACATTCCTAACTTTCAACCGACCTCTCTCTCTTTCATCATTAGGTGGATACACCAGTCAGGACAAGCCACACCCACGAGGGGAGATTTTGATTGGTGGACCGAATGTTGCCATGGGATACTATGAGAGTGAGGGGGAGGGAGAAAATGACAACTTTTGGGTGGACGAGGCGGGGCAGCGCTGGTTTTGTACCGGAGATGTCGGAGAAGTTCATCCAGACGGTTGTTTGCAGATTGTGGGTGAGTAAGGTTAGAATCATCTTACAGAGGAGGGTTACGACAATATTATTATATCAAACACAACATGCCAATCCTCCACTTCCTATCCTGTTCTCAGATCGTAAGAAGGACCTGGTAAAGCTGCAGGCAGGTGAATATGTGTCTTTGGGGAAGGTAGAAGCTGCCCTGAAAAACAGCCCACTCATTGATAACATCTGCGTCTATGCCAGCAGGTACACCAGAACCTTATATCCCAGCTGATAGCAAAACAATTATACACAGCACAATATTCTGCAACTATAGATTAACCTGGATAAACACTAAAATTGTATCACTGAAAATCACCATGTCACAGTGTTGTTGGTCATGGTAGGTGTTCATACTTATGGATTTTATAACATTATTTGACAACTGGCCATACATAGCTATTAATCTGATAACAAATGGGTTCAAAACAAAATTTTGGGGTCAGTAAGATTATTTTTGGGGGGATTAATTGCCTTTTTAAGCAAGAATTCATTAAACTCTATGCAACAATAAAGACATTTATAATGTTACAAAATATTTCTATTTTAAATAAATGTTGTTCTTTTCAACTTTCTATTCATCAAAGAATCTTGAAAAAATGTATCAGGGTTTTCACAAAAAAATATTAATCAGCACAACACTGTTTTAAACATTGATAATAACCAGAATAAATTACACTTTAAAACAAATTAAAATAGAAAGCAGTTATTTTAAATTGTAATAATATTTCACAATATTACTGTTTTTATTTTACAGTATTTTTGATCAAATAAATGCAGACTTGGTGAGCATAAGACGCTTTTTTCAAAAACTTAAAAAATGGTACTGACCCCATCTTTTGAGCAGTTTTTTTTTAATATATATATTTGTGTATACATGGCTTTAAAGATATGGACTAAAAGCCACAGAACTCATCCTCAATCTTGTCTGTTTCTAGTACAGATACCAAACCACAATGTGTAATGATACAACCTAAACTTATCATGCAAAGGCTCCAAGACACCATAATGCTGAATGAACACATGCCACCAGATCAGTACTAATACAGCCTTGTACTATTTCCGATCAGTGATCAGAACTACTTGATCAGCTTTGTGGTGCCCAATCAGAAGCAACTGACTGAGTTGGCAAAAAAGAACGGGGTAGAGGAAGAGTGGGAGGAGCTTTGTAACCATACCAAGATGGAGGAGGAAGTGCTAAAAGTCATCAAAGAGATTGCAGTCACAAGTAAGCACATTTTTTATGTTATACAAACTTCTTAGTAATGTTTTGTTAATTGTTTTAGGTATGCTGCAGAGGTATGCTGGTTGGTGTTTTTAAAGCGGAATTGTGTAATGCTTTCAGTGGGTTTTTTCCACACTTTTTCACCTATCTCAGCTTAATATGCAAACTGACTGTCTGTTTGGTGACGGAGTTTACCTTTAAAAAGTGTTGTTTATTGTAATCTACAGAGACTTGTGTGTTTGATACTCTGTGGGAAAATGGCAAAGGCATTCATGTTTTTGTGTGTGTGTCTATGTATAGACTGTATATAAACTATATTCGCATGTGTGTGGTACCGTAGGTAAAATGGAAAGGTTTGAGGTTCCACAGAAGATCCGTTTAAGTTCTGAGGCTTGGACTCCAGAAACAGGGCTGGTGACGGATGCCTTCAAACTAAAGAGGAAAGAGCTGAAAAATCATTATATAAAGGACATTGAGAGGTTATATGGGGCTCAATGATGTACATGCAACACTCATTTAGGCTGATTCCCA